GTTTTTTTTTAGCCACATTAAGAGATATAGACTAAATAGTACCACTTGCACCCAATTTACTATTTAGTTATTTAATTTCCAACAATAACAAAAAAGAGAAAACATAAATTATTGAGTGTATAAAAATGGAAGTTATCACTTATTTGTATGGAGCACAAGATTTTACCAAATCAATAATTACTACATTTTCAAGCTAGCAGATATGAGTTTGTCTCAAGTGCCCAAGTTAAATAGGGCTCCAATTTTACAAAAAAAAAAAAAAATTAAGCAAAATTGGAGAAGTGTCTAAATGCTGAAGGGGATAATAAATGTATTTGTACCCAAAAATGGAAAATATTTTATTTTTTAGAACCATATTTATATAAGCTGCTTGATGATTGTCAATCATGTTATATTTCCTTAATGTATATTTCATTTTATTAGCACTATGATTTTTTTATCATACTGTAATAGTCGCTAATATTCAAGTTAGTGTTTTAAAAAATCAGTTATTGTAAACAATTATGCTCAAATCGGGAACTATATGCATTCGTTGTAGTTACCACCTAGTCTTGGGCTCAATGAGTGAACAAAGAAAATCTAGTGTCCCTAGTACCTCCCATACACTTTGGTTAAAAAACTTTTAATTATCAGTTTATTTGTTTAATTAGAAGCAATCTCTAATCAACCGTGACTTCTTTTTTTGTTGAACAAACCATATTGAATTATTGTTTTTGTGAAGACATTGGTGAAAAACAGATTGATTAATATTTTCATTGGATCGCCCAGTGTGTTACTGTATCTGTGCCCAATATGTAGAAAAGTGTCTAATTCATTCGGTGCCAAAAAAAATACTTTTTTATGTTACACTTCTTCATTGATTAGAAATGTTTGTCTTAAATATGCTTTGTCTCAAAGTTATTTGGCAAAATAATTCTTCTACTGTGTATAAGAGAAAAGTTACATTTTTTTTCTTCAAATTATGTAATTTTGATTGTCACAATTATTTTCGTTTTCTCAAAAACAGTTTCTGGAGAGCTGGAAATCCAAATGGAGCCAGTAGTAGGGCTGTTATAGTCTTAGCATTATCTTATTTTAAAAGAAAGTCCATTACATCTGAAACATGTAAACTTTGGATCCAAGGCCTCTCTAGCTGAGGCTTTGCCCAGCTCCATCCAGTTGTAAATGGTGTAATCATGATTTGCATCAAAATTATACAAGTTTACATAATATTGGAAATAACTAGAACTGCTGGTCTGGAGAGGCCCATTTTCGTGAACTTCAAGTTTGCCTTGGCTGTTGACTTGGTTTTTACTTTCGTGTTTGTGTGTAAGTTTACTTCATAGTTAAGGGTTACAAGTAATAACGTTTTTGTTGTAAACTTTCTTCGGCCTCGCTTCCAAAAAGTCTTTTTTATTGTTCTCAAGAGAATCTCAATTATTGTAGGACATTAACCAAACAAAACCAGAACTTGCTAGTACAACGTAAGAAGCTTAGCGTCTCATTTTGGTACATCTTGGAGCTGATCGGAGGAAACATTTGGCAGGATATATGTGCAACAACTGTCACTGATCATCTTTCGTTTTTTTTTTTTTTTTGGTCAAACGATCATTGAAGCACGATCATATAACCAACAAGCTATGATAACACCCCTAATTAATTATTTGAGGGAGCAACCAGTCAACGATGTTGTATCTGATAAATTATTCACGTCACACAGCAAAAACGGGGATTAAACTATTCTAAACATGTATAGTATTTTAATTAAACTGAACAAATTAAGCTCCACCAGTAATCGCTCATTTGCATCAAAGCTTGCTAGTCCAAATATGCCGCGGATTTGACAAGTTGAATATTTAACTTTTCAAATAATGTGCTTTTGAAAAATAATTAATGATGTCCAACAAGGTAATGATATGCTGTTAGCATTGTCTAACTTCCTGCAAATGAGCTTCAGGATTCTTTCCAACAACTTCCCCGAGGTTCCTGGAAGGAAATATAAAATTAGGATAGCTACATAAATTAATTTCCATGCATTTTTGGAAAAGAATTATCTGCACCTGGCAATTGGATGAGTTGGGTGGTTGTTGGGTGGGTTGGTGTTGGGTTTTCATTTAGATGGGTTATACCCAATCCGACCAAATATAGATTGCCTTGATGTTGGGTTTGGTCATATTGAATCAACTAAAATCCATGACCTAACATATTATTTAACACATTTTGATATATAATACTCTTGGACACACACATTTACATGTACAAAATGATTTTTTCTTACACATAAACATAGTTTCACATATATAGACATATTTTAACACACCTAGACACTTTCATACATACAAATACACATTCACCTCTTAACCTTCTTATATGGAAACACACCATTTTCACACACAGAGACACACTACAACACATACTAACACACTTTTGCACGTACAAACACTAACATACTAATTTTTTAAACTACTCGGATGGACAATTAAGAGCGGAAAGTCCTTTATCAAAAGTAAATCAAATCATGTAAAATGCAATCAAAAGAATCACCAAACTGAATTGAAGAATTGTAGAATTCAAGCAAGTCGAATCATCCAAAAGGTTTTTGTTTTTAATGATTCACAAGGAGCAATCATTTTTGCAAAATATGCTAAATATTATGCTATCAAAACTCCAACTACTGTAAAAATTGTTGTTAGAATTTTGGTGGATTATTTCTTCCAAAAACTAAACTGGGGAAAAGTTTTTCTAAAATTATTAAAAAATGGTACAAATATTATTACAAATGCAGAGACCCTGTCAGAAAAATTAGGATTATACTTGTACTCCTTATGTGCGTCCATTATCAAATATTAATAGATAACTCAAGTAAAATGGTAGTTTGAAGGAAGTAAAAAAAAAAATCAAAGGATCAAATAGCCATGTTTATTCTTATTGTATTTGATACTGAGAACTTCTTGATAAATTATCGTGACCTTTTGATATCCTTATTGCATATGTAGAGCTCTAACGGTATATTCTCTATATATTTTTTTAAAGATTTAGGATAATAACTTGAAAAGTGCCCCTACTAGAGAAATTTTGGACTTCCCACTGGTACATTAATTTAATTAAACTACTTTACTGGTGTTGACAAACCACTTTAAAACGAGTAGCTTGTCTAATGGTCACTCGTTAAGAGAGGTGTCAAATGTTAAATTTTTTTAAAAAAGTGTAATATATTTGAAAAATTGTTTAAGTGCAGGGGTGTAATAATTGTAATTATTGTATTCATAAGGTAAGTTATGTATAATTTAGGTGCATTAACGAGTTTCTATTTGGACACTTGTTACAAAAAATCCTATAGGAAAACTTGGATAATAATAACTACTCTGGTGGAACAAGTTAAATTATTCAATACTGTTTTCAACCTCATCAATTACAAAAGAGTATAACCAACAGAAATTGTCAATGAACTATTTGAATTTTTCTATTTGTATCACTAAACTTTTTATTTAGTCAAAATGGTCATTCAAGTAATTAAAACATAAAGTTAATATAAAAAAATATAAAGTTTTATAAGTTAAGTCACTCAAAGTGTAAATCTTTGTTACTTGTAGAAAATATACGTTGACATTAGTAAAATTAATTACTTTGGATAACATAAATAATTCGGTAATATAATTACGGAGTTCCAAATAGTTAAGGATAGATTCCATTTGCTCCAGCACAAAATTAATTAACTGATAGTTTCTCGATAACCCTATTGCTACCTTCCTCTGGTGCAGTGTCAATTCAAAAATGAACATGGATAAGATATTAAAAACAAGTAGAGATTAAAGTTTTGAAAAGACAGTGGATTTGACTGGGTATTTTTATCGTTTGTCGGTAGCTTGTTATGCGTGTTTTGTAAAATTACTCAACACACAAGGAGAAAAGTAATTTTCTTTCATTTACTAGATTTAAATATTTTTGCAATTATGTTTGCACCGTATGTTTTTACTTCCTTATATATTGTATTGCAAAAAAATTTTGCAATGGCAATTGAAAAAATCCTATATATGTCTTAGTCTGTTGGCTGAACACTTTTGTAAGTTGGAGATTCTTCTAATGATAAATTTTCACTAAAGGGTAAGGAGAAAGCATAAACAAATACTTATTTATGTAGCATTTATTCTCCATGCTATCGTTGGAATTTTGGTGGATTTAATAAATGATCAGTTGGAGCTTTCCATGATTTTCATATGTGAGGCTAATGTTATTCTACAAGGGTGAAATACAAGAAAAAGTGATTTAAGAAAAAATGATCAGTTGGTACTTGGATTAATGGATATCCAATTTAAAAATCCAAACCGCCCAAAACTCATTTGGATTGTTCTCACCCAACACTCAACTGACCCAATCCAATTACTCAAATTAATGGATGTGTTAAGCGGATTGTTGGATCTTGGGTATTTTTGCCTGGAAACACTCAACTGACCCAATCCAATTACTCAAATTAATGGATGTGTTAAGCGGATTGTTGGATCTTGGGTATTTTTGCCTGGAATTTTCTATGTATCTGTTTTGTTCGGACACTTGTCACCGTAACAAGTTGTGTAACACAATGTCACTTGAAAATGTTTGACAGAAGACCCTAATTTTTCTCGGAGCGACGATACTTCACGATTGTTTTCTTTCTCAACATTGTTGACATTTGATGGAATCCTATAGACAGCTCAGAATATCTCAGCACATGTAGCTTATTCTTAATTATCCTTGTTTATGACCTTTCTCGTTATTCAAATGATCATGATTGGTAGAGTCTATTAAATTTGGAAAGAAACACGGACTAACATAGTGGCACAGTCCATGGAATTGTATATTCTTACTCTGATGATCTGATCCAGCTCCATTTCTAAACAACCAAGTTCTTGGATCCAAAGGACGCCATTGGCCACGTATAAAATGACACATACTTAATCGCAATTTGCACCCAAGTTACAAGCAAGGTTAACAGAACAAGTATTATTATAGTGTGGTTAACTGGTTATCAAGTTTTCCTAAAAATGAAGCTCTGCCATGTTTTGACATTCTTGGGGGCATTTCTAACTTCATTTGTTTTAGGGGGTCGAGGTGGTCTAGTTTCTTCTCTTTTAGGAGAAGTTTCTTCTGTTTTAGGACATCTTCTAGTTGACAATTGCTACCAGACATCATGTCCTCAAGCCCAGGAGATTGTAAGAGAAATCACGTGGAGCCACACGTCCAAGAATCCTGCCTTGGCCGCTAAGCTTCTGAGAATGCATTTCCATGACTGTTTCGTCAGGGTAAGTGGGTAACTAGTTACTGATTAGTACTATTATTAGTATTTCTGTGTGTTGTTATGCATCAAATTGTTGTTGTTCTCCTACGATTCGAACCCAAGAATCTGAATTCTAAGATATGCATGCATCTGCATCCCTGGCATGTGTGCTGAATCTGTGTATATCTAGCAGTTTGAACCGGAATCAGAATTGCTGACTCCTATTTTGGTTCCGTATAAGATCCAGAACCGAAACTTTTATCTGTTGTTACTTTCCCGATTCCGGTTCCAGATATAAGAACAGTTCAAACCAGAACCTTGGTCACTCCTAACCCGATCCATAACAAAATTGCCAACTTTGGTATTATAAGTTCCCACATAAGTAAATATCTATATCGACAAATATATAGACTAGCATTACTGCATATAACAAGACTGGTTAATTTTTTATGCCTTTGTATATAGACCATTAACCTTAACATTTGCTGTTCAGGGATGTGATGGCTCAATATTACTGAACTCGACCGCAGATAATACTGCCGAGAAGGACGCAATTCCAAATCTATCACTGGCAGGTTTTGATGTTATTGACGAAATCAAAAGAAAGCTCGAATCAGAATGTGAAAAAACTGTGTCTTGTGCGGATATTTTGGCTTTGGCAGCAAGGGATGCTGTTTCTTATCAAGTACTTAAAAATCTCAAAAGAATCTTTGGTTTTCATCCTTCGGTTTCTTGTTTATACTTTCGCAATTAGCTGTATGATATATCATGTAATAGGACTTAATTTTCTCATGAAAAATGAGACTAAGTGGCTTATATGGTGTAATACTTGACTATATTTTCCTGCTGCAGTTCGGAAAGTCAATGTGGGATGTGAAAACAGGCAGAAAAGATGGCAAAATTTCTCGAGATACAGAAGCCTTGGCAAACCTTCCATCCCCTTTGTCCAGTTTCTCAACTCTCAAACAAGGGTTTTCTAGCAAAGGACTTAGTGTCCGTGACCTTGTGGTATTATCAGGTTAGGTCAATACCATGCATGATGAACTAAATGATTTCTGCTCAGTCCCACAAATCTGCAGTTCCATGCATGCATGACTTTAATATTTTAATCTTTCCTTTAAGGCTAAGGAATGATGTGTCCTGCAGGTGGACACACGATTGGAATCGGGCATTGCAATCTGTTCAGCAACAGGTTGTACAATTTCACAGGGAAAGGAGACCAGGACCCTTCCTTGAACTCCACATACGCTTCATTCTTGAAAACTAAATGCCCTAACCTTGCAGCCACATCCCAGGTGGATATGGATCCTGGAAGCGCTCAAAATTTTGATCCCCATTACTTTGTTGGCCTAAAGCAGAACTCGGGGATGTTCCAATCTGATGCCGCCCTCTTAACTGATGCCGAGGCACGTCAGTATGTGGATCTCCTCGTCGATCCAAAAGTGTTCAATGCAGAATTTGCCAAGTCCATGTTGAACATGGGAGCAATACTCACAGGAAATGCTGGAGAGATTAGGCGAGATTGCAGAGTAGTCAATTCCTGATCAAGATGCATGTACGTGCACATGCATGCATGCAGCAGTCATTTCTCCTGTTGGGTTTCTTGTGATTTCTCCAAGTGCTCTCTTTTTTTTTTTTTTTTTACGGAAACGTTAAAACTTGTATTGAAATCAAAACAAGCTATACAACTTGAGCAATTATGAGCTTTTTTCTCTTTTCTGGTAAAAAGGGGGCAAAATTAGGTGTCTATTCTTATTTTCTTTTTTACTATTTTGAAATTGAAGGTAGAATGGAAAAGAATAAACTTTTGGATATTGCGTTGTAATTTTGTGCTAATTCATGAGTTCTATTTTTCGTATTGAATCTTGCTATCATGCTCTTTGAAGAAAAGTATAAACTATTTTACTAGGCTAGTGTTACAATTCAGACTTGAAATGAAAAATTTTGTCATTTTAACAAAAAAAAAATCTGTAAAAATAAAATTCGGCTGTGGCAATATGGTTTGCCATTTTATTAATTTAAAGTCTCGTACAATGGCTCTATAAGCAATCAATTAAAAAAGGAAAAATTAGCAGCGTGCAAGAAGAGGAAAAGGAGATAGAAGAGAAAGAAATCCTTAAAAAGACTGAGGAATTAAGAGCAGAGCCTAGTCACTAGGATCAATGAGGTCAGTCATTATCTTATAAATTTATTTTACGGAATCGAAAAGCGAACTCAGGAGTATAGGTAAATAAGTTCATACTTCCCATTTACTCCCCTTATTTGAATAAAAAAATCTATTTAGTCCTTAAATATACAAATTTGGCTCCATGAATAATCAATTAGAAAAAAAAAAAAAGAATTAGCAGTGTGCAAGAAGAGCAAAGGAGATAGCAGAAAAAGAAGTCCTTTGAAAAAACGAGGAATTAAGACTAGACCCAAGTCATTAAGGTCAATAAATTTAGGCCCTTTGATAACCCAATTCAATAATTGATTAGATCTTAACATGTTCAGATGTAATTGATAGCAAAAAAAAAAAGAATATTTTAATTAATTAATTGAGTCTGAATTGTGTAAGCAAAATTTATCTAAAAAATAAATGATAAGTAATTCAATTATCACTTGATGCAAAATGTCCTCAGATACTAAGATTTTAGTATTTACAATTCAATAATTTAATAGATTCAAATTTTAAATTTTAAATTTCAATTTTATAAAACCCACCCTTACTCTTTATCTTCTAAGTTTGTTACAATTATTAGGAAAACGAACTTAGACTCAAGAGTAGACGAGGTCATACTTCCCAAAATTTTAGCGATATCCTATTTAGTCCCCCAATTACCAAAATGAACAAAAATCTTTGTAGTCCTCGAATTCACAAAAATCGACCAAATTAAGAGCATTGAAGATAGCTTGTGCAAACCATGTGGTACTAGATAAGGTCAATAACAGAAATTAATAAGTAAACTAGCTACACACCCGTTCTCTCTTGACCAAGTCATGTGAATCAGCATTACCGGTTACCAGCAGCAAATGATATTGGCGTGGTTCCTCCCCACTACCTAGGGGTGTGCAAACTCAAAAAATTTCGATTTCGGAACCGATTTCGAATTAAATTCGGAATTTCGAATTCAAAATTTCGATAATTTGGAACTGAAATCGGTAATTCCGTTTTCGAATTGGTCAAAATCGGGTCGAATTCGAAAACAAAATATTTGAAATCGGAATTACCGATTTCGAATTGAGGAATTCGAAATAGGAAATTCGATTTCGATTTCTAATAATAATATTTAAATATAATTATAATATAATAATTTTTAACATAACAAGTAGCTTCCGTCTGCTTCCCTATCAGATGCCAAAAGTCCTAATCTCTTAACTCACCTTGAGCTTCCGCCGCCTCATTCCTCAGAGTCTCACCTTCCTTCCTCCGCCTCCACCGCTTGACTCACCAACTCAGCTTGCTCTTTCTCCCTCTCTTTCACAGTTTCACTGCCTCTTTCACTCACCGAATCCATCGCCTCTTTCACCTCACTATCTCAGAGATTTCCACTGTCCTTCGCATCACACCTTCATCTTTCTCACCAGTTCTTCAATCCCGACAGAGACAGACACCATCAGCCTTCATATTCAAGACCGTCGGACATCTTCACGCATCTTCACTTTTCATCTTCAAGCCATCATCAGCCTTCACTTGAAGAGGACATTCTGAGGTATGCCAGTGATTTTACTCACCTTTTTCATCTATGTTTCTAGTTTATTTTTCTTAGGCATTTCATCAAGCAGCTTCCAAGCACGCGGTATAGGTTCTGGTTATGATTTTTGGTTGGATCTTTGGTTATGATTTTTGTTTCAGCTGTTCTTATTAGAGATGAACGTTCCATATTTGGTGCAATTTGTTGGCTTATGGTGTTAAATAGTACATTGAAAACTGGGTACACTGTGGTGCACCTAATGTAATTCAAGCCGGTGACTAATTGTTGTTGCAAGCTGCAGTATGAACTTCTGCAGGAAAGATTTTTTATTTTTGATCGAGTTTGGGTTTTCTGGGTTCTTTTCGCGATCATATTCTTGAATGACTCTGTTTGCATTGTGTGGTTTTGTTAATTTTGCGGAAAAGGTGCATTTCGTGAGTGTTTTTCTTGCCTAGTATTCCTGCTGTGACTTTTGTGCGAAAAAAAAAATGAATTCGGTGAATTCGGAATTTACCGAGTTCCGAATTCAATTCGGTAGCGAATTCGAAATCGGTATTAGGCATTTCGAAATCGAATTCGGTCGGGAAAATTAAGGCCAAAATTTCGAAAATTTCCGATTTCAAACTTCCGAATTACCGCTTTCGAATTCGATGCACACCCCTACCACTACCTTTCTCTCCATTTCTTTATCTTTTTTTTTAATTTATATTTATACAACTAAAATTTTTGACAATAATCTGCTTATGTCAATAATTTTATTTTACAAGTAAGTCAACGTACTTAAAAATCAAACTCATCTATAAATGTTTTGTCATTTGATTTGCACAATATCTAATAGTAAAATTTAATCAATTTAATCTCAATATTTGCATATACTTTAAACAACTGGAGAACTATCATATGGATGGTTTTGATTTTCAAAAACTAATATTAGAATTATATTTATTCAGGTGTAATGGAGAAACAATCCTCTCCAATAAATGAAGAAGAACCTAACTCACTTTTAATGGCCAACAATTATCTTTCTAAATAACAAATGTACCTCAATACGCAAAGATTATGTTCGCGCTAAAAATGGTACTACAAAATATTTATCATCCCCTCCACCACCACTCTCAATGGCTCTCTTCCCTCCATAGATCCCTTACGTAAAGTTTATTCTTTTGGTTTATTCCCCTTCTTCTTCTTCTTCCTCTCCATCTCTTTTCTCACCTAAACCCCACCAATATCGGCTATCTTGCCCTACTATCTGCCAACCGGCCCAGCCTAGCTTAGCTCTCTATAGTCTCAAATCAAACTCATAATACACAAAACAAGTTTTTTTTGCAAGCTTTGACACATCACAAAAGACAGTGTTACGTATCTGAATGTTGAAAAGGGGAAACAAAAAAGGAAGAAAAGAACTGCTTGTGGCTTTATGCTTGCCTTGATAATTCTTAGATGGTTGGATGATTGTCTTGCCTGTTTGAAGCAACCTTCAGATCAAATATGTTTCAATTTATATTTGTGTGTATACATGTATCATTAACTGTGTCTTATTTATTTAGGTATGCTTTGAATATATAGAATAACATAATAAAAAGTGGAACAGAAAATTCAATCCTACGTGATGGAATCAGAGCAATGTGAAAGAAATAAGCGATTCTCTTCAAGAAAAGAGAGAAGAAGATAGAGAATTTTCCAATTCGCTGGTTGATAGGCTTGAAAAATCTAAAAGCGTCTTTCTAAATGAATATGTTTATATCAAAACTTGAACAGAGGAACCACAAAATCATGCCAAAGTAGCTCAAAAAGTGCTATTTGAAATCCAAGTTTTGGAATTCCCAAACATTTCTTCTTGTTTTTGGTTTATTAAGAAGTATATTGTTCAAGGGGGGAAAAAGATAATTTCTTCGTAGTTGCTTAGTTATTTGTACTAAATAGTGCTCAATCTTGCTTTACATACTGATTGAGAAGCATTGGACCACCAAGAAGCTAAAGTATCATTAATTAATCTATGGAGAGATCAACCAAGAAAAATTATTGGTTCCACAAGTAAAACGGGAATTAATCTAATAGAGGACGATAACAATGTGGCTTATATACTATATTATTAGTTTAAGTATATTCCTTTACTTTCCAGCTACAGTTTGGAAAGTCAATGTGAGAAATGCAACATATCTTACTATCACAAAATTAAACACTTTTCGTTTTCCTAATGAAAATTATGCAATAGAAAAACTATGTGATGTTTTGAAAGCCTCAAAGTTACCCAATACAAAAAACCACATTACCTTAGATAATGAATACTTGATGAAAAGAAATCACCAGAATGTATACGCTTCCTACATATATTGCAAGATAGCAATATATCTAATGGATATTGAAATTACTGCTATAAATTTTATATTAAGGTTAAAGAGAAACCCTCCTATAAAAGTAAATAATATTCTAAAAGTATCTCCGTAATCGTCGAAAACATTTTCAATTTTGACGTACTAGCGAATAACCGGAATCATGCAAAAATAAGTTCAGAAGGAAGTCTAACAGAATAGTTCGAGTTTTCAATCTTCAAGCACGGTTTCTTTTTTTTCCCCCTATTTGCAAGAAAAAACTACAATTTTTTCTTGGATTTTTTTCCAAGTACAAGAGATTCCAAGTGGAAATTAAAGCTTGTTACTATCTAAATGTACTAGGAAAGAACAATCATCTGTCATCCTTTATTCAATCTATCTGCATTGGCTGACAGGAGGAAAAATTATCCATTAATCATCTTGAATAGAAAGACAATCAATTCGTACTTATAAAGGCCATCAGCTTAAACAAGAAATTTACTCATCCAAGATAATCCGATCGAACAAGCACACTTAAGTACATAAACTAATTGTATT